CACAGATACTCTGAATTAAGCTCTGGTTTTGAAAGGTTTAAAAAATACTTTTTCAGTAATCTGGAGTTATTTGCACTGAAGCAAGGAAAACAAGAGAAAATGCAGAAAAACCCTGCAACAATTGGCCTACCACAGAGATCACCATAAATCTTACACACTGATAACTGTAGTAAGGCAGAATTTAGAAATGAGTTACTTGCTCACTTTTAAGCAATACTACACAAAACAGGTGCTGTCTACAATGAGACTATGTAGCCTTGGGAAAGAAGGCACCATTAAATATTTTAGCAGCACTCTACCCCCTTAAAATGATACATACATTTCTTATCCAAAGTATCTATATTAATTTAGAAAAAATCATATTTGCAGGTCTGACTACTCTGAATAGCCAAGTGGAACCATAACACTTGATTGGTATTTATTGAAGTCATATTAGCTGATTTCATAGGTTGAAGGTAGCTCTGAAGGAAAAGAACAGATAGTGAATTTAAAGAGACAACACAGATATACCTAGTACTATAAATAAAATAATTGGCAAACTAGTTCCTCTAGAGGCTTTAATATTTTTTTTACTGTCAACGTGAGCTTGAATAAAGAACTCTCACGAGCAGCTGCCAAGACTGAAGCAGACTGATGTGGGAGTTCTAAGTTCTGGCACAGCAGTATTTGTGGCAACATATGAGAAAACCAATACCACATATAACAATGCTTGGAGTCTTCTTTTTTCCTTCTGTTTTCCTGCAAAATTTATAGCAGATAGAAGCACCCTGTATGCTACGATTTCTTTAGTCTGTGCATTTCTTCTTATGTCTGTTTTTACCTTGATTACTCCCTTTTGCCTCAGCAGCCACCACAACTTTTTTTTTTCACCACATCACTTCCCATTCTGCTACAGTTCCCCCATTAACCAAAAGTTGATGAGGATTAAAAAAAAAAGGTAATTTATTTATAGCAGCATCCAAAACCATGCTGAGAAAAAAGGAAAGGAAGCTTCAGTAAGGCTGCCTCCTATTAGCATAGAGTAGTAGGAGAGAAGAGAAGAAGGGAAGTCAGTAAACTCAGAATGGCCAAATGTCACTGTAGAGGCATCGCTATGTTTACTTTGAAAGTATATATATAGGAGATAGTTTCTCTAATCCATGCCTGTCCTTCCTTATGGCATAGGCTGACATTCAGAAGCAGGACCAAGCTTCAGAAAGCAGACAGACCTCAGAGCTGTGCACTACACACAGTGCAGATGTCAGTAAAATGCCTTCTGTGGGTATTAGAGAAAAATTCTGGATAAGTGTTTTCACAGTAAGCACAGTGTCTCTGTGTCAACAGACATATGACACATGACAAGTTTCCTATTACAAGTTCTATGGCTCTCTACAACTTTACCAAAAGGGTTGTCAAGCATTGACGAGTGATGATTGTACCATCACAAGGACAATGAAAAGACAAAAGGAAAAAACCCATCCCTTTACATATAAACCTCTGGTCAGGGGAATAAAAGTCCTATTTTTACTTGTGCACAGTTGTGTTGGTTTTTTGGGTTTTTTCCTTCATAATTCAAAATAAATTCTTCTCAATTACTGTAGCTTTAGAACACCAATTTTGGTAGCATTAATTTTTCTGTAACTTACTGGTCTATTAACCAGAAACAAGACCAAATTATCTCATAAAATGAAATAGCATTTTAATGTCCCATTGTTGGCTCTCACTCTTTCAGAACCACACAGGCATTACCAATGGAAAGGAAATCTCAGGTTAGCTGATCTGTCATACAAGAGAGTTTATGAAGAATCATGAGGAACAAAGAAACAAACTATAGGAACAGAACTGGGTCAGACTGTGAAAATATAAAGACAAAACCCTAAAAAAAAAAAAAATCCTGAAATCCCTTAGTCATGAGAATGATGACAAAAATTCAGCCTTATATACCCCATAGAGCACAATGGAGATGTGCAGGCAACAATCAGGAACAGAGTTCCTGACCTAAGTATCTACTACGAAACAAAAAAAACCAAAAACATAAAATCAGACTTTTACCTTCTCTGAGATTAATTTAGAAGACATAAATCAATAACCAAATATTTTTAAGATTTTACTAAAAAATGTGAATGGTTTGATCTCTGCCCTGTATCAAACAGGAATGATCCAAGAGCGACTTAACTAATTTCACTGGCTGATACAAGGGTCCCAGCAGATTCCACCCCCTGAGATGGTGCAAACCTACAGGCAATGGAGACGACCGAACAAAGAGACAAACCAGGAAAGGAAGATTTCAGAAAGATTAGATCATACAGCCATGATGAAGACAGCTGTAATAGGATCTGTGTGCAGCGTGGCTGCCAATGTCACACAAAATCTCAGGATGAAACAGATTAGTAGCACTGCTGAAAGGGAAAGAGCCCTGGGAGAGCTTCAGAGGAAAATTAACAGGATCATATGGGCCATGTTAAGTTAAATTAATGGAAAAAACATCTTCCACCTCTCATGTTTTTACTTGGAATTTCAATTCTTCGAAATATATTTCTCAGAGATTAATGGACAAGGGACTATCCTCACTGCTGTAAGAAGCTTAGGTATATAAACTTCCCTTACTTCAAGCACAGAAAACACAGAAAACTTTCTAATTTATCACATTTCTTATTATTAATATTTTGAATACAAAGAAATGATGCAAAATATTATATGATTACAATTAATGTGTACATTATTTATATCTATACTCTTTTCTTAAATTGATATTTAAGTGCTAACTACATTTATATATCATGAATCAAAATTAAGATGTTGAAACAAAACTCTTCCTTTTATGCTTGTTACACCGCAAAATGATACGTAAAATTACCAAACAGCAGTGGATTGTGGATTTGTACTAATACATTTAAACCAAAATATAGGAATGATTTATATCTATTTTATTATTTAAATTAGCTGGTTAATGATGCATGTATACTAAATTTCTTTATCCATAATCCATCACTGCATAGCTTAATGCTAGCCAGAAAAGAATTGCTTGTTCTCTCCTACATCCCTGCAAAGAGCATCTCTCTCTCCTCAAAACTACATAAGGAAGGTTTGATAGCTGTTCCCACATCTTAATCACACTGTATTTACACGAGAGATCTATAACCAGCAGGTCAGCTCCATCCAACCTTTATCTTCTTTTCCATACAGATGATCCGATTATGGTCGTGTTTGGTATGTTCAACTGTTAAAAATGAACTGAGGCATATAATAATGAAGTAGAATATTTTCCTTATGCTCACCTTTTAACCATAGATACCCTCATAATTTGTATGAAATAGCTGCAGTGGTTGAGTGGTTGCTGCAAAGCCAGTTTGGATCCAAAGTTCAGTCACAGGACAAGTGCCTGCAACAGCTGGTCAGACCGTCCAGAACTGCTGCTGCCTGTATGTGCTGTGGCACAAGGACTGAAATGCCTCAAATACTGACGTGACCTGCAAGGATTCTTTTCTTAGGAAAAATAACTTCTTTTTAATACTGAAAAAAGATGTGGAAATAACTTATTTTTAATACTGAAAAAAGATGTGGAAACATACATACGGTCTGGGGGAGACTACTTCTGTGCAGCTCCGCATCATGTGCAAAGCTGCCAAAATATAACCAGATCCAAAGAGCTGTCCAACCTGATGACCAAAAACTCTCTTCACTCTTAAAAATAACACAGTTCCTTCTCAGTAGATTGAATATATTCAAGGCAAAATGGTAAAGTTTTGCCAGTGATTGCCTGAAAGATGATGAGTAAGGTCAGACAGACTTGTTCTAGGCAGTGCACATTGGCCTTGCTGGGCTACAACTGACCCTTTGCATCACTGAACAGATGAAACAATCTTCTACAGAAGATCTTGAACTTTCTTAACACCAACTTCCCTTCCTCAGCAACCTCAACATCTCAGTACCTTTCTAGATTATCCCATTGAGGCTAACAGCATCTTATGTCAAATGTACTATATTTTTTCAGAGACTGGTGCTGCCTATTACAACTGCTACTTACAAGCATTTTATTATACATTGTGGTTCAAGTATGAAAGCCAAAGAACAGTAAGATCACTCAACAGTGTACTTACATCAAAGAGTTATTTATTTCTAAATAACAGAGTTAGAAAAAATAAAATTTCAAAATAGCCCGAACAGGAGGGAAAATGCTCTTAAATATAGCAATTTTTCAAATCCAGACTCCTGAAGGACTAGAATATCCTGGCTAGTAGAACTATTTGGTTAATCTATGGGTTATTGGGAGCAGTGGGAAGTAGTGCGTTTATAACTCAAGATAAACCATTTATAAAGAATTGAAGCAGGTGGTGTCTTTTTCCCTCTTCAATAATAGGATATATAGTAAATTATTGATTTTTATTTAGTTTCAATTACTAATAACATTATGTTTAACTAGTATTTTTTTAAATTAACAAGAATTATCAAATTAACTCTAAATCTATTTTTTTTTTAATCCTAGAAACCAGAAACCTAAGAAAATACCAGGTGCATTAGCGTATGTGCATGGACATGTGAGTATTAAAAATAGCATATTGATTGTACCTGGATGAATTTAAGAGGAAAAGCATAAAGATTCTGTTTCCACAAACTCTCTCATCATCTTTCACAGCCTGTTTCTGGCTAAAATGAACTATTAATGGTTTGTTTTGTTTTGTGTTTTAATTTCAATACCCTAGAAATAAACTACTTTATTAAACTTATTTGTTAAAAACATTTCTGTTTCAAACCAATGCTGTACCAGCATCACAAAATACAATGCCTACCTATATTGTGTTGGAATAGTTTTACCGCTTATTGTTACCCATTACTGCTACCTCCATAATGCAAACAAAATTTTAATATGTTAACCATGTTCTTCTGGGCAAAAAAAAAAAAAGGAAATATCCCAAATTTTAACAATGCTTTAGAATTAAAAAAACCCTGAATGTATTATTTTATAATGACTGGCAAAAATGGCAAAAAAAGAGAAGTATTTTATGAATCAAGTATCTTACCTTTTCGTCCAGGGTAAACATGAGGGTAATATTCATAATAAAGATCAGGCTGGTCTAGATTTCCAAATGGTTCAAATTCCATTTCTGCATTTTGGAACAGATTCAGTTTTACTAGCAGTGCTAGTCTCACAAACCACAGCTAAAATTAATACAGATAAATAAAAAAAAAGGAAAAAAAAAAGGTCTGTTAATAGTTTCAATCACAAGCCACATCCAAATACAATTTCAACTTTCTAGGTTTTTCTGATAAAGCTGAGTAATGAGTTTCTATGTTACTTACTGATGAGAATCAGGATTTATATTTACATGCTCTTTCACGGAATACTTTTCATAAGATCATTAAAACAAAACATAGAGGACTGGTGTTTTAATTGTTTGTAAAGGTATTGAGATTTTAAAGATTAAGTTTAAAAACTATCCTGCTTCATAATTTTAACATCTCTTTTTAAATTGAGTTAGCATGTAAGAATTATCAATGTGGTATTAATTGTTTTGGTTTTGGTCCCCCCCTTCTATTTTATGGAATTCTTAAAATCTGTTAAGTTTTTGATCAAATTCCAAGAGCTTTATAGTTGCTAGGACCAGAACCACGCATTGTTATCTGGTCACATTTTGTTCAGTACAACACTTGTAATGTTTCACAAACCTTATTAATTTGAGTTCTTATTTTCTTATAATCATGAAACAGACTTCTAACACTTGAAATCCTACAACGAAGTTCACAATACAGATAGTGCCCATGAACCTTAGCACAGTGAATCTTCCAAGACAGCAAAACATAATCCTTTTTACTTGTGTGATTACCTTTAAAAACATATAATCAAGACAGAATTGTACTTAAAAAAATATAAATTTTGTTTTAAATGAAGACCTACTTTACATAAGCAAACAGAAAAAATTACTTGCTACAAATTTTTTATTAAAAGTTTAGTTTTTAGGTTAACAATTAGGAAAATAAGTTTGATCATGCTAAAAAAACATGCCACTGTGAATACTATTGGAAAAAGTTGACATGGGTGCATCTTTAAACATACCTGTAAAGAATCCGTTGTATGGTTAGTAGGTAGTCCACTTTTTTTATAGCCTTGACCATGTGCAGTTAGAAGTCGCCCACACAAGTCAACTGCTGCCCTCCAGTTTTTACTGCTCTGGGAAGAAGAAAAGAGTAAGTACCAAAATCATAAAGTCCCTAAAATGTGCAAGTGCTTATTTTGCCTGAAGCAGCTACATGCATCCATCAGTAATAATGACAAGGTCAGGAGAACTGGCCGGTGAGAAGCAGAATGTCATTTGTCAAAGCTGCACATCTAATTAGGCAAAAAGTGAAATCAAGCGTTAATATTATCAGATCACTAAAACAAAGAATATAGAACAACGTATCAGTTCTAAACTTAAAGTTATATCTTGTTTGCAAATATACTTAAATATACTATAATAGTCACAATTTTGTTTTCCCCTCAGAAGGAGAAAAAATTGCTACCCATATTCCAATAATCACATCCAAGTCATTCTACTGTTATAAAGTATTTAACACCTATTTCTACCTCACTGATTTAAGTATTTCAAATTATAACCCCCAGTGCAGTTCACCCAATGAAAAAAGACTTACCTAGCATTGCCCAGAACAAAGAATTCCTATCAATTAAGAGCAAAGGACAAGAAACAATACAATGCAAAAAGTCATAAATTCAGAACAATAACAATTGTTTCCCCTATAAAATGTAAAACATCTGTATTTTGTGGCTAACTTCAAAATATTTTTAAATATATTTTTTTATTCATAAACTAAAATCATTCTGAGTTAGACAAGCCAAATTGTCTTGTCACTCTGTCATCCTATTAATGTTTCTGCCTTGTATATGCCAATGACACCATGTAAATAGCTAACACTACCAAAAGCTAAAAACACAGACTAGTGCTTCAGAGGTTTTGAACTATCATACTTTTCTATCCTACAGAAGAGTTTTTCAAGAGACATGTATCCAGCAGGTCATTATAAAACAAATACATCTTGTTCCTGAAGGTAATCTTTTTTTCAAAGTTTCTTAAATGCATAAAAAAATATTGATAAATGTACTAGAAAGCTGCAATGTTGTCTGATGAAATACAAAGGAATAGAATATATTTATATTGGTGCTTGCAAAGTTCAGGTACTAACCTTGATTTAGCATTTTATTAAATTCTCTCCAATGTTTCGAGTTTAGAAAAAATGTCAATACAGCAAACAGTTACAAAGAAAAACTAGTAGTAACAGCTGAAGAGTTTTCATACTCTCTGGCTCCAACTTTGCAGCCATTTGGTTCAAGGGGCCACTAGAGAGATCACTGTGCCCTGACCACCTCATCTCTCTCCCTTGCACTGTCAAATCCCAGATAAAAATTAGAGTTCCACTGGAAATGCAGAAGTTGGCTGACAGCAAGACCATGAAGCAGAAGAACAGCTTCTGAGACTCCTCAGCTCTTATGAAAAAGCAGGAACTGATAATGCATTTGTAACATTTTTCAACATATATGTGTATCAACTTAGAAAAGCAGAAAGACACTGACATGGATTACCCAAAATTTATTCCTCTCCTGCAGAGAGAAATTAATTTATTGTCTTTAGAACAGAATCAGACACAGACTCTAAAATTGCTCAACTTTTCTTCCCCAGTGAGAGTTACGATCCAAAAATAATAATGGAACTTTTATTAAAAACTTAGGTGCTACAATTTTTAAAATTCTATTTAAGGCATGGACAAAACCCACTTTTTCTTTATAGAACAAGACAGCCAGGACAAGCTGGTCTGATAACCATTGTAAAAACAGTCTTTGCTGGAAAATGAAACATAATATTCATCATGATTTCAAAATCAGAGCTGCCTGCTGGTCAAGGAGCATAATTCTCTGTGGAAACCTAACAGAAGGCTGCTGGCAGTATAACTTAATTTGAAATTAGCAGGACACATTATTGTCTCTGGCAAATTGTACCAGACTTAGTTGCCAGAGTTGCCAGTCCAGTGGACTTGAAACACCCCTCAGAGCCTTGCAGGTCAGTCACTTTCACATTGCCTGTGGTCTACAGTCACACAGTCCTAACAACTCAGGTGCCTTGTTCCCGAAAGTAATAGGGATAAATTTTGTTTGTAAGTCATAAGTAGAGGCTCAAAGCAAATATGGATACTACAGCTTCAGATATAGCATCAAAAATACTGAAGAATATTCTCAAAGAGTAAAATAATTATTCTATGATGATCAGGACACGTTCCTCCAGCAGCAATTGTATGAAAACCTCATGAAGTTTAACA